TTTTTGACGTGTTTGATTTGTATTCCTCATGGCTTTCTGTGATGCAGCTTGCTGTAATATGATTTACATTTGTTTTCTTTGGTGTGAAAGTATTGGAGCAACTTACCAGATACCTTAATGCGAAAATCTTAACCACATGCTTGCAGATATCTTTTAACAGAAATAAAATTGTATTTGCACCCATGTAAATATTTCATGTAGAAAAATTCTGAGATCTGGGAAGGGAAGTTGTGCTTGAGATATAAAAAGCTAACAAGATATTTTGCTTAAGTTGTGAGACTGGAGCGACTATTGTGATCATTGAAGCAAAATCCTACAGGAGTTGAACCACTGAGTTTGCTTGAAGTAATTCTTGCCTGAACTGGTGAATGTGTTTTTAGAATAACATCTGATGTTGATGCCTAAGACACTACTGATAGAGTTAGTTCTGTGATTCATTCTGCTTCGTGTAGAAACAGGCATATTAGATTTATCATTAATAGTTCAGCCTCCAGTTTTGGCTTTTTTATCAGCAAGACCAAGTAGTTCTTTAGCTGACCTTCGAAGATCCCCAGCCCTTGAGAGCAAGTTGACCTAATCACCTCAGGCTACGCTTGCTTTGTGTAGAGCCACAGAGACACTGCTACAGTGACTTTCTCTGAGCTGACTGAAGGGAGCAGCTCTTGGCTTTCATTCTGTAAGGAGACAACTTACATGAGGTTTTTCAGTTGTTCTTATTAGCCAAGTGAATGACAAAGAGATACACCGACCAACTTCCTTTACAGCTTATAAAGCTACTTTTATTTTGGCAAAAAAAATTAAAGACCAATTGCAGCGTTCCAAGCTTGATTTCTTCTTAAATACATACCTTTATCTTGGTTGCCTTTTGCAACCATTAAGCACTGCCTTCCCTCCCTAAAAAAAGAATTTTGATCTGCTAAGATATTTCTTTTATGCAGTAGTAATGCTCTGCATGAACCTGTTGACTGGGAGAGGAGACAGGCCAACCCTCTCCCCCACACTCGTGCTTCTGTTCCCGTCAGAATGGTTCCCTCATTCTGGAATTGCTTAAAGAATGCAGCTAGCAGGATAGAGTTAATCATATGTGCAGCCCACTTACCAATGAATTTAATTCCGTGTAGAGTTACTAATTGTCAATGTCAGGAAGTAATTCAGTTTGTTTTGATTTTTCCGAGTCATACATAGAACAAGAATTTACTATGCTCTTCTCATCACTGCAGGGGCATCTTTTCCTCCAACAGAGAAAGAAAAGCAAATTACGATTTGATGGGAGAAATAGCTTGTCCTTCTAACGCCTTCCATACAGCTAGACTGAATCTTTGGCTCGCCGTCAACCCACCTGGTGATTGGATAAGGGCAAAAAATACATGTATGGAGAGGAGATTACTCTGTAGTGGAGAAGTAATTTAATGTTATTCACACTTCATTTGTATCTCTAAAACAATGATCAAAAAGAGTTAATCTCTTCTCCATCAGGGTCTGGTTACTCCCTCTCCTACTATCTACAGTTATACGTGCCTTGCAAGCAATAGTTTACTGGAGAGATGTACTGGCTAGCTTGAAATAAGCTGGCTCAGGCTCTGAGAGTCCTCACTGTGTTTTGACTTCAATGGCTAGATTGTGCATCACCTACAAATATAAATCTACAATAGCTTTACTGGAGTGAAGAGTGTCACATTGCTGGACATCTTTTACCTACCACTCGTACTCCTCATGGAACTCTACCTGCATGTTCATAGCTTCTCCTTGTTTAGAGACATCCTTCTAAATTTTTGTTGTTATTTTAGGTTCCCAAGTAAACCTTCTAGGTAAAAATGTGAATTTTGGCTAAGAACAAAAAGAGAATGTTATTTAAAAGAAATGTGTGTGCCTGGAGCAGTCCAATTATTTCTTATCCTGTGACATCTCGTCTACAAAACCTGGGAGACACTCACTTTTCCATGTTGCTTTAGTACCATGGTCTCCAAGCTGTGCCTGGTGTTCTAAACTGGCACCTTTGTCACCTTCCCTGAAAGCAGGCAAGCCCAGTGAAGTGGGGTTCTCCTGGAAGGAGTTTTGATGAAAGCCATTCCTCTGCTCCTGGCTCAGGCCATGGGCACTCTCAGGGGTCCAGGCTGGTCTGGAACTCCCTGGAGTGTGACTGTCAGGGCTCAGCTCATCCCAGGGTATCGCAGGGCTCTGCACCACCAGTGCTGCTCCTGCAGTGTCTGCACTGCTCTAGGGACAGAGAGGAACACACATTAGAGCTTGTATTTGCATGCAGCAGAGCCCTCTACTTGCAGGACAAAGACGCAAGTTCTACATGTCTTAGCCCTTAGCGAATGGCTCATTATCTAGGAAATCTTACCCTCCTAAACCTTCACCTCCTTACTTGTTGGACAGAGCCCTGGCTACTTTCCATCTTCTTTTTCTTGGAGATTGCTGGATTCCAGTGACACACCAGGCTGTCATTTTGGACACTGTAGTTCCTGTTACCAAGAAGCCAATAGGTTTTCATTTTGCCTTTGCCCTGGGACAAGAAAAAGGAGAGAGCAGAGAACAGCAGTTTTGATGGGATATGAAGGAGAGCAGCAAATCACTGTACCCAGCGCTACTACCTGTACTGCATTTGTTATCACTTCTTCTCTCATAAGTGGCTGCTGTTTGGAGAAAGAATTGTAATTTGTATGTGGCTTGGGTGCTAATAATTCTCTCAGTTCAGAAGAAGGCCTTGCTGATCACTGGCAGTATTGCTAAGGGTTTAAAATCAGCCTTATATCCATGTGTCTGTCATGGAGTCCTTATGTTTTCACCCCAATGCATGTGGTGCTGTGCAGGTGTAGACATAGCAGCTGTGTTTCAAAGTACACACAGTAACACTTCTGCATCGATTGGGAGAAGTAATGGATAGCCACTTCCAGCGGAATTAGCAAAAAGAGCCTCAGGGCCATGGTTAAAAATTGACTTGCAATTCACAGAAGAGCAATGGCCAAATCTATCATATCTCGTTAAATGCCTTTACTGTTGGAAATTTATAGAAAAGCTGTTACCTTGACTTCAATTTCTCCTCTCGGTTCAATTTCATATGCATCATCTGTGAGAAGGGCATCATATGTAGCAGAACTGATATGGATCTTCTGCGCTAGGATTCAGAACAGAGCATTAGAAAAGAAGGATTCCCCTATTCCCAGAAACCACACACCAGCCCTCCTGCTATATCAGCCCAGTGCTTCCACCTCCCCTTTGGAGAAGGGCAAGCTGAGGAAGAAGCACAAAGGGGAAGGTGCCTTGTTGAGGACTCAGCAACACTGTACACAGATGTCAGCTAAAACATAGAAGCAGTTTGGCAGGTTAACAGACCAATTGACATGACTCTGCAGTGCTGCACCGGGTATCTCTGCACAACAGCATTGTACAGCAGTAAAAATAGGTGGCATTGGTAGCAGAGGCAGCATAAAAGAAAACATGCACTGCCTGCTGCTATGTAGCCGTGGTGTTTCTACCTAATGCCTTTTGTGTTAAAGTCCTTTAAAATCAAACTTCGCTTACCTTCTGCTATTTGGCTTTTATCACCTTCTTTCTCCTCTTATTTCCAATCACTTTCCAGAAATGATATAAGGGATGTAACTCTACTTGCCCGTATGAATACACAAGAGTTTCCCTTGCTAATTTGTTAACTGGTACACGTACAGGAATAGTGGGGACTGCAGGTCATGCATGTGCTAGTTCTTCAGATCTATGCTAATTAGTTCTCTAGCCTGGGATATGCTGCAGAGAATGCTCCTTCTCCTGTGTGAACTTTACTTCACACTTGGCAGTGCCCAGTGTGAGGGGGAATCAGGGGTTTCCCTTTCACTGCAGCATCTGAGAGACGTAGAGTGCACGTGTGGGCCTGACCGGCGTGTGAGGAACACACAGATTGTGCCCGAGTTGCTTACGCAAGCTGGTGGACTCCATGCGGGAGGCTGTGTTTACCGTGTCCCCAAAAAGGCAATACCGAGGCATTTTGTACCCCACAACTCCAGCTACACATGGTCCTGAGAAAATACAAGGCAGAAAGGGCCTGTTAAGAAACATGTGGAAAAAGTACAGGAAGATGCCAAATGCAGACACCTTTGCTAGTCACTCTGGATCCTCGGAGAGCAATAGGAATTGGGAATACTCAGTGCACCTAGGGCCTGGCTGCACAGTATTTACTTAAGGGGAGAAGTCACCATTTGATTAGCTGTAGCTAATTGGTGCTGGTATCAGGGGAAGATGCACTTTGCCAGCACTAAATTGTTTCACAGCCCTTTCAACGCTGATGCAAGCAAAAGTCATTTCGTCCCACTGTTACTGCTGGAACCAGGAGAAATACTCATGAGTGAATGGCTCGTACAGAAATGCGGAATTCTTTTCTCCTCACACAGTTAGTCTGTGTCTTATTCTCTTTTTCTCATGTCTCCACCTCAGCCCATGTACCTGTATGTATCCCAGCCCGCAGCTGCAGTCTGCCCATTGGCATATGAGGGATCACAACCTGACGAACTGCTGCCACCAGATCCAGAGACATTTTGGCAATCTCATCAGCATGTCTGGTGCCATTCCTCTCTGGCAGGCCACTTGCTACCATGTAGGCATCACCAATGGTTTCCACCTGATGGGAAGGGGCAGGTATCACTAACTGGCAGACGATAAGCTTTTTTTTTTTTTTTTAAAAAAGGGGATCAAAATAAAATATATCTCAGCTGTCCACCACTTGCCAAGCTGTGGTGTAGTCCCTGTGTGATGGTGGGTCTGGGATTTCATGGCTTTTTGCCAGCTGACCTGGTGTATTTGATATTCGCTAGGGAACCAAGTAAAAAAGATTTCGGCAACTTCCATATTCCTTGCCTGCAGGTTTGCACTCACCTTGTAAACATCATAAGACTCAATCCTGCTGTCAAAGCAGATGTACAGATTGTTGAGCATCTCAACAACTTGCAAGGGAGTACAGGAGGCAGCAATGCTTGTGAACCCCACGATGTCCGAGAAAAAGATAGTCACCTGTCACAGGGAGAAGGAAAGTGTGAAGCTAAGGTCTCAAGGCAACAGTGGCAGAGCCTTTGAAGAGTTTGGGGATTTGTGAAATTCTGAGCAGAACAGCCTAAGGCACAGGCTGCACGTAGAACAAAGGTTGCAGAACTGAATAGATACAATCCCAAATTAACAAGCTCTGGCTCTGAGTTATTCTCTATTACTTTGACAGATAAACTTTGGAGCTAAACACAATTTTATCAACTGCACTTCTCTGAATGCCTTGTGCTAGATGGGAGACTGAAAGTCAAATGCTTTGAATCTTGTGAGCAGTGATCAACAGCAGTGATTACTTACAGAAGTAGGGCCTGATTTTTAAAGTGATGTAAACTGGTAGAGATCAAAACAAGGTATCTGAACAAACAGCAAAATAAAAACTCAGTTGCTGCCTCTGCCCTTGTTGAATCAGGAAATATTAACTGGATTTTGTTTCTCTTGAAATTATGTTTATCTTTGTTATGATCAAGTAATTTACAGAGAAATTCACTGTGTGAAAAAATCAGATTTATAAAAGGTAGAACAACAGAAACTGTAATAACTGAGTTGAGGAAGGGAAATGTGTGTTACAGCTGTTGGAAAAAAAATGTTTCTTCTCTGTGCTGCCTGAACTTTGTTAGTGTTTAGAGTAAAATTGTTCTGCAGTTCATCCTTGGTAATACCAATTAATCTGGAAGAGCCACCTTTTCACTCTCTGCCTTGGTTCAGCTACTTTTGATGTCATGACTATTGTGAATTATAATTAATTGTGCAATTACAGGTTGCTATTTTGATAATGACACCTACAAATTAAATGCAAATATTTATTATTGTGTTTCACAGTTGAAAGTAACAGAGCATCCAAGGGAAAAAGACTGAATAGAATTGCAGTTACTGTAGCATGAGGATTTGTGCTGCAGACTAGGTAGCACAGCTGCTAAATTCAGCATTGACAGCAGCATGCATGTGAGGCAGAGCTGCAAATAAACGGGTGCCTGCCCCAACCCTGCCCTCGTTTTTATGGCGACAGGCTTCATTACAGTTACACACTTGGGCTACGAGATCATCCATCCCTCTCATCCTTCTCTAAGTCTGATGCTCTTTTCAGTCATGTTTATGGAATCATACTGACAAGTACAGGCAGGATTTTTCCTATCTTGTTTTTTTGTGATTCTTCCCGTTTTACAAAGAGGAAACTCATTTGTTGCTCCTGTGTACTCATGGTCTAATGATGCTGACTGGCTCTCATGAATAGGCTTTTAACCCAAAGAAGATAACTTGCTGATATAGGATCTTTGACACCTAAAGCTACATTTCTGAAAAGTTCAGCTTTTCTTCCTTCCCCACCAGCTTTATGGCACACTGCACAGCGCTTTCCAAAACCCATCATGCCTATTTGGATTTCCATCCACGCTCAACTATGGGTGCAAAACCAGATTCCTCAACATGGTGGCAAGGTAGGTGCTTTTTTAGGTGAATACTTTTCTGTCCTTGTTGACAACATCCTTTCCATTTGCTAACCTGATCATAGTTTTCTGCCTCAACTTTTTGGCATTTTCTTAGCTGCTTGGCCACAGATTTTGGCAACATCTGGTGTAAGAGGTCCTCAGCTAGCTGCCTCTCCCTTTTCAAGTCCTCTGTCTTTTCCTTCAGGTTCCTGGCATAATTGTGTATCCAATCTGTTGTTTGCTTGAAGGACATCAGGATTATGGGGTAAATAAGGCAGGCTATCACTAACAGACTGATCTTAAGGCTCATTGTGGACAGGATTTCTTTAGATTTCTTGATGAGCTTTTCCTGTCCCTTCTGCAGTAGGCAGTGCTGTACGTAGTCCAGTCCCTTTACCAAGGCTTCAGTGGACACAAATTCGTCTGAGCCCAGGAATGGGGTGAAAAAAGAGATTCCTCCGTAGTGTGTGAAATAAAGTGATAGATTGTTGTTATCCATCCAGCACGTGTGTACACTCTCTGATGAGAAGATAGCATAGTTCAGAAGGGAAAAAAATTGATGCAATGTTGTTTGAAAGCTTGTAGAAGCTGGCATTAAGTGAGCTTTAAGCATGGCTTCTCTTATTCGAAGGACGAGTTTAAAAGCTACTATGTCTGCCCAGTCAGGATTGTATCTCATAGCTTTGAGGTCTTCATGGGGATTACTAACACGCTCCAGCAGTTCAGAGATCACTGTGGAGAGCAGCTGGCTGGCTTCAGTACCCCCTGTGCTATTTAATTTTTGTCTCATGTCAATGATGTAAAATCTACAAATAGATATTTTCTCCTTCTTGCACTGGCAATTCTTACAGTACAGTTCTGCTTCACTTGCCTTGCAGAGGGAGTTTAAATTCCCCCATAGCTGAGCATGAAATGATCTATTCCTCTTGTCTGCTGCGGGGAGCAGCCAGCTGTGCCTTTCTTCCTGCAGGAGATAGATGAGGCGAGCAGCCCAAAGGTTTTCACAGGAGACAAGTTCCTGAAGGGCTTTCCCTGTGTTGCTCCGTATTTCCAAGCTGTTGCTCAAATCAAAAGAAATGGCTCCAAGGAGGCTGCAGAGGGAGACCAGGCATGCTGTCAAAATCTTTTGAACTGTTTTTCTACCACCAGCGTTGGAGGAGGCAGAACGTCTGGGGAAAAAAAAAAAAAAAAAGAAAATAAAAATAATAATAAAAAAAAAGAGTGGGGATGTCTGATCTCTGAGGTGTTTCTTGCAACTCTGGAAAACATAACTGGAGCTAGTAGTGATATTTAACAATTCACATGAGTTCTGAAGCAAAGTACAGGGATCATATGCTAGCTGAATGTTATTGAAAGACATATTTTATTATATTTTGTTCCACCTGACATTTTATTTTAAAAGAAAACGTGTAGTAAAGAGACTGTTTCCATGACACGATCAGAGCTGCAGATACACATGAATGAAATCATACAGGTTTTCTGTGAGTGTTAAGACTGATAAAATAATTTGCTTTAGGCTTTATTCGCTGTGGTACTTCTATCCAAATATTAAAGAAGCACATGAAAAGATGGGTTACTTATTTCAGAGATCACAAACAGGAACTGTTGAATTTTTTCAATCAAACTTTTGAATCAAACTTTTAGAATTTGTTCTTAATAGGAATTTCCAGGTGATGAATAATTTGTGCTGATGTCTTCAAATCAGCTTAGTCGTTTCCACAATATTGTCTAAATATTTCAAAAGGAGAATGAATCAAATTTCAGTTTTGTTTCAGTTTTTACCGAAGCATATACATATCCAATATTTACTTTCAAGCTTCATGATTACCTTTTCTATCCTGCTCTTTCATGCTGCACATAATTGACACCATGCTCCATACAGCAAAGTAACATTTAATGATTTTCATTTTCAGAACTATTAATCAAACATTTACAATCTTACATTAATGATACTCATGAAAACAATTAGGGATGTTATGCTGAAGCTGGCAACTCCTGAATAACTGGGCAACCCTTCTTTCCACTGATAAAGAACAAACCAGGGGACCGGGTTGCTGATCAGTCCATTCAGCTCAGTCCTTTTTTTTCTGTCTTGTTTTTCTTTTTCTCTACATAGCAGAGATGATGGAAAAAAGCCCTCCTCAGATCCCCTGCTCTTTCAGATAGGTGAAATTACATTTCTAATAAGATAAATAAAAACCCAATAAAGCCTGCTATTTCTCAGCAGAGGCTGATATTACACAAAACAAATTACTGCTGGACTTTTTGCAGCAGAATGGTGGTCAATTGTTGGGAAGTAGAAGAAAAGTAATAAAAGTACAGTCCACAAAGATCATAAACAGCCATGCTTTCTCTTATTTGTTCAATACAATTTAAGTTTAATAATATATATATTTCTTTTCAATCCAAATGTGACAACTGCAAAATGTCTGACTGAAAGGAACCGCAAGCCTAGAAAAATTTCTCTCAACCTAGATGCATTTCTGTTCTCGCAACGAACTTCCAATCTTTTCCTTACTCTGTCTACCACTTACCTCTGAGTCACTTGTCCTCTGTTTTTAATCAATCATTTTACTCTCAAATCCACCTAAATATGTACCAGGAGGGAGAAGAAAAACACAACAAAAATCCACCTTGATTTGATATTGCCTACCTTTTATTACAATGAAAGAAGTATAAATAGGGGCTTTACGTAGTACTAGGCTAAAAGGTGGTGATTCTGCTTGTGCTTTGCAAAAAATTTGCATTTATGTCTGTGTCAGCCAACAGTGACAGCTGAGAGGTCTTCACCTGGCATCCGAATGACTTAAAAACGAGCAATGGGGACATGAAGGAGGTAGGTCTGCAGAGACCCTGCTGGCACTCACCGTGGGGTTTTTTTTCCTTTCCCTTGCCAGGTCACAAGATCCTGGGGTGTTTAAAAACCTCTCTGTAAAAGCATTTTGCAGCGCTCCCACACTCACCTGTGTGAACCCACTCGCACCCGTGCTGCCTTCCTGTTAGGCATTGCCCCTGCGTGCTCTGGTGATTCCCGCTCGCAGAGCTGGGGTCCCGACTGCTGCATGCCTGCTGCCTGCAGCCCTGCCTGTGCCTCTTCGCACCCCCTGCCCCCCCGGAGTTGATCCTGTGGCTCTCTGACTCTGCTCGCAGCAGGCTCACGGCTTCCCCCAGGTGAGTGAGGGTAGCAAGCTCCAGCCCAAGGCAGGGGAAGGGTGGTAAAAGGTCTCCAGCATGATCACTAAATACAGGCTCTGGTCCCAACAATACACAAGTAGTAACAGGGACGCATTTTTTTTTCATGGTGCAAAAAATGGTGTTTATTGCAGTATGGTTAGGTATAATACTCGTGTTGTTAAAAGCATAATTTTCCAGCACTTTGTGATCAAAGGTGTCGCAATTATGACTTTATTCCAACTGTTTTCCTTCTTGGCGCCTATCATCCAGTTCTCTTTGGATTAGTTGCTTGCCATAACCTACAAAAATGTAAAACAAGTGAAAAATCAGATCATGAGACCCAGAATTTATGAATAGTATATGTTGCAGTCAAGATGCAGGATTTAAATAACTGAAATAAGATTTCTGCTTCTCACTTTTTAGATTAAAGTTTATACAAAATTAAAAAAGAATTTATGTTCGAGGCTTGAGCAGCATGCACTGCCTGCTAGGATGCAATTGCAACAATCAGTGATATTGATGAATACAAATTTGAGTAATTAGTTCTGAAGTCATACCAGTAAAATCTTTATGACTATAAATATAGCTCCTAGTATAAAGGGAGAATGCGTTCCTAAACACTGAGACTTATTTAAAAGTGAAAATAATTTGGATAACTTTAAGAAGTGGATACTTTACTTTTGCTACAGAGATTGCTTTTGCACTGGTAAGGGCTTGTCTGCAGCGGTTACTTGTGTGTAAAGTAGCGTTTGAATCAAAAGTGATACAGCTCCCCAAGCAGGTGGCAGAAATCCCAGTCAGAGAGAACCTCAGAAATAGCTGAGTGTCTGTATTCTCTAGCAGCAATACCTAGAACCTTACCTGCTGGATCCAGCTATTGTAAGCAGAGACCCGAGTGAAGACAGAAGGCTTGTGATAGTAGTTGCAGCCGAGAGAAGAGCCAAAGCTGACGATACCGTGCACTTCCCACTTGCCATCAGCAGCCTGGCAGTTCAGTGGGCCACCAGAGTCCCCCTGGGAGGAAGAGGCACACAGTTAATGGCAGTCATAGTGTGAATGGCTCCTCTGTGGGTTTTTAAGCTTTCCTTCCCATCAGGCCTGTTTGTGTCTGAAACCAAGCCCTAAGAGCAGTGTTCTCTGGACTCACATTACAACTGGAGGTGATTCCATCCCCACCAGCGCAAACCATGGAGCGTTTCACTGTGCTTCCCCACCAGGAAGACTTCGAACAAGTTGCATAATCCACCACCAGCAAAAGGCCTTGCTGCAGGTCATCTGGAAGAGCTCCATTTGCTGGGAGGGAATAGAGGCAAAGGAGTCATGGTACCAGCTGGCACTGAGGGAAGAACAAAGCTGCATTGTTAAGTTTCTCCCAGTATCAGAGTACTTTCTCCAGGTGAGAAACTCCATAGGGGCTCTGTTCTTATATATATATATATATATTAGGCCTTAAGTTATTAATAATTTGTGTTCCATTTAAAAATGTCTCATTGTTAGAGAACAGTTACTCAGTGAGGTATGTTAGGGTTAGCAAATTCCCCAGTCTGCACGATGTTAACATTTGTCTTACAATAGCTTCTAAAAGCTTAGTACGGGGCCCTCTAGTGCATTACTCGCCCCATTACAAGCTAAATAAACTTAAAAGGCAGGGAAAAAATTGTATTGTGTGAGTGAAGTGGTGCCTGATAAACTGCCTCACTACATTGAGGCTGAGGGGATCTTGAGCACCATCAACAGCCTTCTTCCAATCAATCCAAAGGAGAAGGCAGTACTGAAAGATTCTGTTCCACAGTTTTGCAAATGTCCAAGTACTTACTCTGCAGTCTTCCCCATCCTGTCACGTAGCAGGCAGTGTCGGATGATAGGATGCTTCCTGCAGTGGGGAGGCAGGCCAGCTGAATGTGGTCACTTAAGGTAACGTGTTCAGTGAGCTTGATCAAAGCAATGTCATACCTGTGGTCATATGCACACATTTGAGAGTGAGGAAGAGAAAGGGAAGGGGTGAAGAGGTTTGCAAATAGATTAAGACACAGTAGCATGCATACTTAGCAGTTATACAGTACTTGGCCTATTCAAAAGAGATGCAAGGGAGCAAGGAGGCCAGTACATAAACAGTAAAGATTCCTCCACCCTCAAAGTAGTGGGGAAATCCATGGACTGGAAAACTGTTCCCTGAAGAACTGTACACTTTCCTGTTGGCAGCTTTCTGTAAATTGCCTTTTATAGGTTCTTTTCAGCAAAACCAAGCATGTGTTAGGACTAACTCCAAGGACCTGGAAACTGAGGAGATTTGTTCACTAGTGCCCTTAGCCTGCAGCAGGACATAGGAGTCCTTGAGCAACAAAGATATGAATACCATTGATCAATAATACTCTGTGTGCTGTGCATAGGAAGGCTTCAAAGTCTGTTGTATAAATTAATAAATCATTGCATAGAACAGCTTTCCACCAAAGCATGAGCGTGCAAACTGGTGTCTGAAAATAGAACTAATCAATAAGTAATTAATATTGAAAATTCTTTATCTTCTCTTGAGGAGGAAAGGTACAAACTGGACATTCAAGTCTCATCTATGAGCAAACATTTAGAAGTACCACTGTAACCTGTAACAGGAGGCCCTAAACATTTATGCATTTAGCTGCCACAACTTGGGGTGGGTGGGATTCAGGCAGTTTGATTTTTGCCCTGCATCTAATAACTGAAAAAATACTTGCCACCAACTTACCCATTTGCAACACTCTGTGAATTCCAGTTCTCGTTCACAACTATTTTTTCTGGAGAAAGTGCAATTGATCCTTCTTCTTCAGTTTCTAGGTTGTATTTTCCAAGAAATACTCGATAAGTCTTAGAAGAACTGGGCAAGAAAAGGACAAACATTCAGTTATGCAGCTGCTGGCTTGCTGCTTAGGCATCTGTGTCTTTGCCACCTGAGATACTCAGTAAGAATATCCTAAGACTGTAATCTCACATCACATACGATTTGTCTGGAGGTGAGCCAATGTCTGACTGATTTGCTAAGGACAAAGCATTGTGTGCTGAGCTTAATAATCGTTTCATCTCCTAGCCGTCCTGTCAACTCCTGCTTAAGGCTTTGTTAACAAACTCAAGATGCCTCCAATCTTTGCAGGATTCAGCTCGTATTCTTCAATGAGGTGAACAATATGGACTGCTTTTTTGACAGTGATAAACAGCTTCGCTGATAAACAGCTGTGTGATAGATATGTAGAATTTATAATAATAATAATAATATGTAGCAAATCCTGCTTATTTCATGTTACGATGTTTTCTACAACTTAGTGTTATGGTAACCAAGAACTCTAGGTACACATTCAAGGACATATGCTACCAAACCAAAATGGGGTTGTGTTTGTGGAAACAGTTTTAATGATGAAAGGGGATAGCTGTACCTGATTACTGGCCCATAATACGAAGAGCTTACTGAAAATGACGGGTATATTCAAAACATTTGTGATTATTTCTTCAGGGAGTGGACTGATTAGCTAATCTGCGGATCTCACTCCTACATGTATTATAGAACAGGCAACGGAGTGGAATTTTAATAGCAACTTGAAATCATAATGATATTTGAAGTTATTTACAGAAAACTATGAGTATATAATTCTGGTAATTGTGTGTGTGGGGTTCCCTTCTACTTTTATTTTTAAAAAATGAAAAGGTGTCATTCTTCTTCTGGCCTATTAGTTATAATCAAAAGATATGATGTGAAACTTGGAGATCTTAACTGGGAAAGGGAGAACTGGCATTAATACAGTTTTGCTTAATCTATCTCTGGTCATGCACTGCTTCCTGGGTACAGACTTTAATTCCGTTATTTACCTGATGCAGTGTGCAGCTGTCATCACCCAGTTGGTTGCGATGAGGATTCCTCCACAGGTGTGGTGCCATTTACCACTTGAACTGTATTGAAGGGAGGCCTAGGATCAATGTATCAAGTAAGGCTCAGATTTTTGCTTACTGATTTTTCATTGTTGCACTTTCTTCCTGCAACCAGAACACAACTTGCTGCTGGAAGATGGTGGGAGGCTTTTAAGTAACAAGTTTCCAACTCCTGGCCACAGAAAAGGTTTCCCTCCTTCCCTATGATCCAAAAGCTTGATTTTTTTTTAAATGTTGTTTCTTCCAAAGTTCTCACTAAGCCTGGCCCAAATAGAGCATTTCATTTGCTTCAGAAATGTATTTTTTAACTCCATGTACAACTATGCTCCAGTAAGCATTGTATGCTCCTCTGAATTTCAGTGTCTTCGTGCTTAAATATGGGATAGTGCCAAGACTACTGAAAGAACACAAAAGCCTACATAACTAGCAAGAGGGTGGCACATTCAGAGGTTTCTTAAAAAGACTGGAAACTTTGGGATTGATCAGAATGTAATATTCAAAACCTAAGATATGCCAGGCAAGATGCATCAAATGAAATATAAAACCTGGTTTTGTTCAGCTGTGTTGTGTGAGGGTAGCACAACCCAAATCGTTCCAGGGAAAGCACAAAGCGACTAACCTGCCAGGGCCAGCTGTATGGTCTTGCATCTTCCCCTCCAACAACTCTAGACACAAGGGGGGGGTAGGCAGGAACCCCGCAGCCAAAGACTAGAAGACATACGAATAGAATGTGTGTTTTAAAAATAGGAAGTTTAAAAAAATGTCTGAGAGGGGGTTTTTTTCTTAAATATAGACTGTGTTTGTACAAAACATTGCAAGGTACAAATATAGGCTGTGATTTAATGCGAAGATACAGCCATCAGTCAACTGACCAATGTTATATAAAGCCTGTTTGAATTGTTTCATTTTTCTGACAGATAATCAAATCAAGTCAGCTTAACCAAATTCTCATGTGTCAACTGAGATGCAGGTGCTAGCCAATGCAACAATTTGACATAGATTAATTGTATTTTAGTGTATTCAAGCTAAGTAAAATAACTGAATTTGCTAAAGGCTGAGAGCAGTAATTCTAATCGAGCCCCTGTAATAAGAACAGAATAGCACAGCAGCACCTAGTTACTGTTTTGAAAGAACTTTTAAATTAACTGCCTATGCTGTATCTCTTTCGGCAATGTTGCAGTGTCTAATTTCCCCCCCAAAAAAAGGAAAGTTGCTGTTAGATTTTTAATTTGTTTTTCCTTTAAAGCTAATCCTGAAATTGGGTACGTACCTGCAGCTGCCAGAGTCAGCACAGCAAAGAGGACTCCAAGCATGATGCCAGTTAGCTGTATGATGCAAGCTTTGCTTTGCAAGCCATTTTATATGCTATCGTTTATCTCTGGGACACAGCACTTAAAATTCAGTGCTATTCTGATACCAGTGGAAAATTCTGTAATTGTGGGATAATTTTTTACATGCACAAGTGCCTAAAAGAGCCTACTTTAGATGGACCTTGGATCCAGGCTGTATAAACAACTCGGTTAAAAAAAATTTTGACTGAGTTGCATATTACCTGTAGCAGCTGTTTGCTTTCCTGTTGCCTTGCAAGTTCATCACAAAGGTGTTTTCAGAAGGAAAATGTTAAATTAATTATTCTAACACTTGACATGTCAGCAGTAACGGTGCCTGATATATTCAGACAGTGATAGATTCAGTCATGTCAGCAGGGTTAGATTAGACGATCTCTGGAGGCCCCCTTCCAACCTTAATTATTGTATGAGTCTATGATTGCTTGAAATTTTATTTTATTCTGGCTTTTATGACTGAATGGCAACTACCACTTTGTACTGACTGCAAACCTGTATCTTCTCTTCTAGATCAAGCTGCATGTGTTTTAGCATGCCATACTTCTCCAATAAAACAAGCTGTCATCACTTTGAAGTGGAAGATGCTTCAAGCGATACAAAGAACCAGCTGTCCATGATGACGGAGAAATGCTGGTGTAGCGCGGTGAGCCAGACTTCATTTCTTTCCTGTTTACCTTTAATTGTTAGATCTGTAACACATCCCTGGAAGAGAACAGGATTCCTGTAGCATTGCAAATGTGTGTTTTTACACCCCAAATCAGCATGCTGACCTGTGGTATAATGCAGTGTGAGCTTGTTAATGAAAAAGGGTAAACGGTTTTCACTAGTAGGACAAACCAGGCAAGAGCAGGCATTTAGACCACTACAGAGCTGCTGCCACAAAAGAAAGTGTCCTAATTCATTACTGGACATCTGAGATCAATGACTTGATATCAATACTTACCCTTGTGCCTCTTTCTTCCTTTTTTTTTTTTTTTGTACTATGGGAATTTTCCATCCTCTGTCACGTTTCCATTCGTCTACCCTTCACCTGAAAGACTGTTACTGGTTATTTAAAAAACAAACATCTCTATCCCATAAGCCAGGTCACGCATAGAGACCAAACTTGTTAGAATGGTAACAAATATCAGAATGCCAGTTCTGTAACCAGAGGTGCATTGTACATACAGACCAAACTAGCAATTTCAGAAAAACTGAAATAAATCTGCTGTTTAATGTTAGTATTAGTATTAACAAGGAGCAAAATCCCTGATTTTCATAGCTTCCATTCAGCAGTAGGTACTGATTTGGATGAAAGATGCCTGGAGCACACATGTGGAACGCAGAAATATATAATGCTTTGCTGTGTTGTCTGCTTCTCAAGAATGTATTATCCTACCCAAACAATAGCACTTGAGAAAGCTCTATTCTGAATTTCAAATGGAACCAACCAAACTCCGTTCTGGCATGTTGTATTTATTATTTGACAAAAGCATAAATCGGGATTAACCGAGTGCAGAATTGAGACTAAAAATTTTTTTCTTTAATTAGTTGGCTCTCTTCTTAATGTCTGCGTTTACAAACTAAACAAAATACTGTGCTTTTCCGTTTAACTTCCATGCCACTATCATTTTCATTGACTACCAACCAAAAACTAAGTATAAATTTTGGATGTTCAGTTACTATTTCAACTTTCCTGTTTTATTGGTGTATTTGTAAACATTGAATTTTGTTAAGATTTCTAAGCATTTCTGCCATTGTTTCACAAATAACCTTCTGCTTTCTTGCACACTGTAAATGGAGAAACTCTATTCTTTCTTTTTCCTTCTGTGTAAAGGAATTCTGATACAGTTCTTTTATTATATGGGGGGAAGGCTCATAATAATATTTTTAATATAAAACACTCTCAAAGCTTGCACATTTTTGGTTGGTTGTTTCTTTTTGTTTCCACTCCTGCTTTATGTAACGATTGCTTATCCATCTTTTCCAGGTCTAGTCTAAACAGGCTGAAGCATCTTTCTTGGACTCAGTGGCCGTCATACTGTTGGCAGTTCTGCAAGTGAACATCAAAAGGCTCAGCCTCCAGCTGATACCGTGGTGGCTTGGAAACAGTTCCCTAGAAGCTTATACCATCTTCATGCCAGATGTTTCACAGAAATGAAGCAGCTCATGGAACTACAGTAAGAAAAAGCAGGAACTTCTGGTATGTTCTGCTAAAGCACAATAGCTAATATCTTTTTCAATACACAGTGTACTTAGTGTACAATTTATAACATACTCCATTGCTTCACTATCTGTAGTCTATTCCCTTGTAGGATAGTAACTACGCTACACCAATTAGTAAGTGAAATGGCCTGCAGATAAGTAACAGACGCTGAAATCTACTTTTCTGAGGTAGGTTTTTCATCTGAAACTAGACAGCAATCTATTCAAAAATTCAAAGTTAAATTCTGCCCCAGCTTTTCATTGGAAGCACCAAACGTGCCAAATTCATTACTTGCTGGATGGCCATTAATCTACTACTTGATTGTTCCCTGGGTTCGTTGCTGTGTGTTCTTACAACTAAACCTTGGCCTGCATGTCTCAAGATAGAACAAGGTTACACAGAGCCAGGGAAATGGGAGATTAGCACCACCCTGTGCGTTTGTCTCTTACTGTGCCTTCCACATTGTCTGTTCCCAGCTTAGACCCATTTATGTATTATTTTCCTCACTGTATTTCCTTTTAATCCAAGCACTTTAGCAGTCAGTACTGGCCACAGATGTAAGATAAGGCTCTGCTTGTTTTAGCTGGGTGGGGAGCAAGGGGAGGAGAGAACAGACAAAAACCAAACCAAAAAAAAAACAAACACCAAAACCCAAAAAACCACCACCAAAGAAAAAAGCAACCACACTTTGGTGATCAGGTTAGACTGAAATATATTTATTTAGAAACAACAGCTTTGGTATTTTAAAACCAAACAACCTTTAGATCACTAGAAAGTGGGATGCCTCCCCCCACAGCCAAAACAAATCAATGCACAAAGTCTCAGTATGTTCAGATTAGGAAACCTGCAGATCAGCATTTCCAAGTGTAAATCCAGAAAACAATTTCATTAAATTGGTTTTGCACTCTACAATCATAAAGGCTGAAAACTTGTTACCAGCACTTAGATATCTACAGTTCAGTTGACTGACTTGTTACTGAAGCCGAGGCAAAATTATTAACATCCTCCCCCTCCCCCAAGCAATAAATTAGAAAATGTATACCAGAAAGGAAGTTACACTAAAGTTTTCTAGATAAGTTAACTCTCTGAAGGGAATCATCATTCTTTATTTTCCTGTAAAATTGAAAAACAAATCAAAATATCAAAGGACTTGGTATATCTTCAAGTATTTTCACCATACGGATTACTCCTAGGGAACTGAACAGTTTACAAGAAAAAAGAAACATCTGTTACACAAGCTTCTGGGATAAACTCCTGAATAACCACACCTTCCAGGTCTTGGATTCCTCTCTTAACAAGGCACAAAAGGATTGTTGCTTTCAAAAGGTCCTTGTCTGCAGCGGCAAAATTGTCAGATGTCTTGTGCAAATGGAGGCTGAAAGCAGGACTAAGTTCACTTGGACACTGGGATGTTCCCATTCAATTAATGAAACCGTGTGTTGTTTCAACACCATTGACCTTGCTTACTGCTACAGAGATTCTGAGCTTCAGCTGGCTTCCACTTCATCCCTGTTTCTGGAATCCAGTTCTGCACCATCTTCATTTTAAGTAGGTCAAATTAAGATGAGGCAACAGACTTGTCTGCTGTACACTGCAAGGCTTTTTGCAGTGTCAGGAAGGAAGAGGTGTTATGTCAGCGCTGGTGTGTAGCTGTGAAGCTTCTCGGCATTTCAAAGCATAGTGTCAGGGACAGTTACCTGCAGTAATGGTTAAGTCATTCTGTAAAAGGCAGAAGGTAAGTCTTGTAGATGACAAAGGCAACCAGGTAGACAGCAATCAAAAAAGGACATAATTTTATAATTTCAAGGACACATTTCAGGATACATCAGGGCGTAGCTCTATACACAATAATTGAAATGACTTCCTGACTGCTTCCTCCTTTTGCACTAAGGTTTTGATCATGATCATAGGCTTATAACATATATCAAAGCCAACTGCAGTTCTCTCTTCTACCTCTTCCTAAGTGAGTCTGTCCACTCTCATTCTTTCAACGGATGACAGGTATTCAGACCTGCTTGGGATCAGGCCTGATCTCCAGTGCTCAACATTACAAAGCCAGCGAGCTGAGAGGGAAATTAACAACTGACTTTAAGCACCGCTTACGTACTGTCAAGTTTAGTCCTCTACCTTCTGTCCAGCCTCAGCTATCCAAAATTGAATTTACTTTTATAATTTGGAAAAACAGGGCAATCTAAAGCTAGAACTCTTTTGCCCTGACAGCTCTTTTTCACTATGTCCTTGTCAATTTTTTTTTTAAACCGAAGGTACATTTAACCCTAAGGAGGGATGCCTCTGAGCAATATGGCCAGCTCACACAGCAAATCCAGTCTCATCTTTCATTTCCACTCTGAATCAACACGCAACCAGAAAGTACCAGTACTAAGAGCAGAAATCACCGTCTATTGTCTATTCTGTGCTAAGTTTTTACTAGCAACTAAGTTTTCTAAGGCAACTCAAAACAAGAATTTCAAATCTTTCATGCCCAAGTGAGATGCAGTAGAGCCTGAAGTCAGAACCTCCCAACTCACAGTAAAAACCACTTTTCTTAACACAGCTATGTATTTTGTCTGAATGGGAGAAACACTAGCTCAGCACTTTCTCAAAATGATGGTGGTAAACATGGTTTGATGGAGGACTGCACAGTGCCTATAAATCTATGAACATTCACCAGTAGTCCCAACAAGTCAGCACCTGGACCTAAGAACACCAGCTCGTATTTGTGTGTGCTTGTATGACATGTCACACATTCAAACCAGGCAGACAAGCGTGCACATCTCCCACACAGTAGTAGACAACTATAGCAGCTCTCTCACAAGCATTCTGGTACTGCCTAACAAAAGACATCAGCTTGTGACACAGCTGAAACTGTTGGCTTAAAAACAAGCGAGGTCTTACACCAATGTGCGGAAAAAGGACAGAAAAACTGTGTCTGCCTCGACCTGCAGCCTTACAAATGTTTAAGAAGGACAGAGGATGGCTTTACCTTTTCTAGTATTTGTGAGCCCTACCACTACAATCCCTGCCCTAATCCTCCTTCTTGCAAGAAGAGGTCACAGATCGCTTGTTGCAAGAGAGACTGAAAATCCTCACCATCCAAGACAGGACCTCCCTAGGCACAGCTGACAGAAAAGCAGCTGGACAACACTTGGTGGGCAGCAGCCAGAATCAGAAGCCTTATACCTTACTCCTGAAGAGCGGCTTGGCTCCTGGCCCACAATATTCGTTGTAGATGAGTTTGAACAGAAACAAGTGAAACAATGTGATTAAGGAGGCCACGCTGAACCAGAACAGGAAGGGTAAGCCGGGGTATTGCTTGGCCATGTGTTCCTCATGAGCCAGAATAGCTTTTAGATGGAGTGTGTGTCTCAGGTCCTGCAAGTGGATCAAATCTGTCGAAATATAAAGCAGTGGCGTGATGGGTTGAGTCACCATGACGGGGAACGTATGACCTCGTGCCTCTGAGGTCAGCTCCACAGGCTCATTCATACAGCCTGCCTCACAAGCATATAGTCTAACGGGCTTGTCTTGGAATTTCACAGACACATGCAAGAAGGGCTTTCCTTCCGCATCCAGCAGAACAGCTAGATTAATCAAGTCCTTATTGTAATGGATCCCACGTAAGGAATAGCTGTTGTGAAGTACGTCAGGGTCAGCCTGGAACTGAAGATGGTTTTCTGTGAACTGCAGACCCCCAAAGCTAAGCACCATTCCCTGCATAAGTCCGTGGACTCCAGCTGCCACAAGACCCTTGCATCCCCGTTTCTGGAGAGTTAGCTTCCACAGGTCTGAGAGTTGCAAGATCTGGGTGATGCTGGTCAGCTTTGCTGGCCATAGGTTCTCTGCATGCATGGTGGCGTGGCCACTGAAGCAGTGGTCAGCATAGTTCAAGCTGGCTTCCATTTTTTCTCTGTCCTCACCACTAATGAGTGGATCTAGCAGAGGAGCTGGCATGCTGGACAGCACATAGTAGAGGGTCATGTTAACAGTCTCACTGGATGGTGTATGCGAATCGGTGATCTTTTTTATTTCAACCCCTGTAATAAAGGGAAGACAACCAAGAGTCAGAGGATCACATGTGAATATGACATTAACCAGGAGCAAAAGATCAAATATGCGTGTTGTCGTTCAATACGCACGCGTTCTTTGTAACATCTAAGAAACCTCTGCCTATGAAACATTGAAGTGAAATGTTCCCTTGTATTTTCTTAGATGCTCTCTCTGTTACTTGGAGTTTGAATGCCAGGCTCCTACTAAAGGCAAAGCTAGTTTGATACGCAGATGCCTGATGGAGCTGTCACCATGACTCCACAAGAAGCTGTTCCTCTGTCAAAGGAACATCTGTCTTTTTACTGGCTATAAAATATCAAGCTCTACATTACTTGGGCAGCTACTCTTTCATGCAAGACCATGAAAATCATAAGAAAATGCATCCTTGTAGAACAGTCCTTAACTTCCATGAAAAAATCTGTCCTTTATACTGTCACTAGAGGCCAACTCTATTTCCAACATAGAGCTGACGTGCTGGGCAGATCAGTAAAGATCCTAAAGACATGAAAGCCAGCACAGCCAGAGTTATGATTAGAAATGTTGTTCTATCATTTCCTTGATGCAGTAAGGAATACTCCACTCCTGTAAAGTCTGCTAGGTTCCAAACCAGGAACGCTGACGCCACCGAGCTTCCAGCTGCCCTCTAAAGCAACACTTTGGAAGCTGAGCATCGCTTTCCCTTACCTGAAATGAACAGGTCTGACCACGTCTGTTGGTGCTCCTGGAAAAGATCCTCCACCCCCATCTGCATCACCTCCAGCATCTCCTTCTTGGCTGCCTCCCTCAGCTTGCTGAAGGTCTCCTCCAGCCCAGAGACCTCGACGGGCTCGGAGGTATGCACCACGGAGAGCACGGTTTCGTCGAAGTGGGATTTGGGTGCCACCTGCACCCGGCTGACAAGCTTCTTGGCAGCCACCACCATAAGC